AAATTCAATTTTGTCAAAATCTGATATAATTAAAATAAAAATTAGATTGTAAAGAATAATTTTTATTCGTTTTATATATGAACGTAAATTAATATTTAATATGTACAAATTCAATTATATTTCATTAATATAGATTCGATGATAGATTTCTTCGTACTTTTTCATAATTGTCGTATATACAAATATATTTGCGAGTATATATCATTCAACACTGAAAAGAAGTTCGTTTTACGAGGCAAGAACCGTCTATATGCACTTTTGACGAACGTTGAAGAGCTCGTTTAGTTTCCTCATATCTCGCGCTACGAAAAGAAAATTTCTCTTGAATATTCAACATTGTGAATGAAAGGATTTTGTATTGTAACAAATATAAAACATAATTATTTTCAATTATGAAGTCATGTAAGAGGTTACATCTTATCGTTTCCATGGATTATCCTTCTCTATCGAACAATTGGATTAAAAAGTGCCCATGTTGATAAGTAAGATATGTTAGAAAAAAAAATGGATGTTCTTCTTTTCAATGATGAACTATTATTAATACTAATATTAATCCTAATTACTCGAAATGATAATTACAAAATGAAATGTACACGCGTCATTATATCGTTTTATACATCGTCTTTGTTTCAATTTTACTTTCTTCGATCACGAGTTTCGTAGTTCAGGGCATTCGATGCAAAAACTTATTCTAATGTAACACTTACGCTCTTGTATGCACATGTATATACACGTAAATTATACAAAATTGTTTCAACGAATAAATACATGTTTGTTGCGTTTCTATCATTATGAATAATCCTTGATTTATGATTTATTTATTTGATTTATCGTAATCTAACATTGCGCGGCAAATATCTATACATATGTATTATGTAATATGCACTACGCGTGATATAACTATATATAACTTTAATTACACTTTGATTAGGCCGAATATATAATAAATAATTAAATAACCGATTATAACGCATCAAATAACGAAATATATAAAATATCACTGATGTACATAGAATGATTTCCAAACATCATGACGAATAAAAAAAAAAAAAATAATGAGAAATGAAAAATTTTGTTTGAAAATTCGTTAGGTACGAATAATTATAATCGTTGAATGAGTACAATCTATTTCGTTTGTACATTTTATTTCGTTCGTTCGATCTTGTTACTTTTGATTGTGATCTTTCCGATTCTATCCTAATTTTGGAAACACTCTGTATAAAATAAATTACTCAATCGACGTAATAAAAATTAGAATTAGATGATTCGTAGGATTTCAAAAAGAACTTATTAATACGATTTAATAGGATTCCATTTTTATGAATAAATATACCACGTAAAAAAAATAAAATCATTTATAAACGAAGAATAGATATCTTTGAAACAGCTGAAAAAATGCATCGATAAAACGTATGATTAATAATTTTAAATTTTCACTTTGATAATTACGAGAAAAAACGTAATGAGGAAAAAATATATCGTGTTTGTATAAAATTGATGGAAATAAATAAAAGATTTCGTTTGGTTGCGACACATATGATTATATACGTATAATACGATGCGTATGATTTTAGAATTTCGCCTGACGAACAAAGAAAATGTAAAAAAGGAAAAGAAATCGATAATAATGGGCGAAAATAACAGATAAAGAGGACAATTTTAACAACAGTCGAGAGAATAGTCAATGATTTTGTATAAATATGATGATAAATATTAATACAAATTATTCATATGCTCGAGATAAAATAAAAATAGAAATGTATTACTATGAAATTGTAGGTACTTATACTTTTCTGTATGATACAATGTAACATATACATATATAACATCGTTATTGTTGAAAGTATTATACCCCGTACGATAATTAATCTTATAGATTTTAAAATAAAACGTTCGATACGAGAAAATACAAAAATATTCATCTCTGTATAATAATTATTCTTTGGCATTCTCATAGTATGAATTTATGAATTCTTTTTGCTCTAATTTATCTGAAATATTGATATTATCTAAAAATACGGAATTCAACAGATTCTATCTGAAAGAAACGATATTAACTTTTTAATAAATATTTTAATAAATATAAATAAATATTATAAATAAATATTTTAATAAATATTTTCCTGATTAATTTCAAATCAATAGTGAAAAATTATATTAAAATGCGTTAATTTGATAAACTTTCTTTTCATAAAATATTTTTATTTCGTTAATTATATATATATATATATTTTCTCATAGGAAAGTATAAAAATAAAATTTACTTTTGAAATTAAATTGAGTTAAAGATAATTTACAATAGGGCCGTGATAATTGTATGTTTTGAATGGATTCGTCATTCAGTTTTATTTCGTTTCTTCCGATATTTTCGATAATTTTTTTTAATAATAATTTTATTTTTTTGAAATTTTTTCATGGATTCGTTGATTCTCAAAATCGGTGAATCCATATCGCGTTCAATTAACACGGCTCTATTGTATAAAAATATTCTTATATCTTCTATGATGTTAATGTTTTAGATTAACTTGAAAAAAAGAAAAGATTAAATTAATAAATATATATAATTATTAAACTGTTTTTTTAAATTAACATTAAATTAAATTTAGATTTTCCATTTATCCCGGTATCTTTTCTTGTTAAATGAATCAGTTAATAGATTAAGAGAAATGTAAAAGTTATCGAAAAGAATATTAATTTTAATATCCTGCTATTTCTTAATGATGTACAACGTTAAGTAAACATTAATAACTGTTAATTAATGTAAAAATTAACCGTTAAAATCGATATAATATTGTATATAATATTGATATTTAAATATCAATTTTTCAAATTGTTTTAAATTAATCATGTTGTTGAAAATTGATTGATATTATCAATCTTATTAATTTGATTTTGATTTATTCTTTATTCTTTATAGAAAAACAATTATTATTTATTATACTTTTTATAAAGGAAATAGTCATCTATAATAAAATATTTTATTATAGTATTTCTAATTTATTTACATTATATAAATTTAGCTCCAGGAATATTCATTTATTTTCAAATACGCGTATATTATACAAGTGAAAAAGAAAAAGATTTACAAATAAATTAAACGTTAATGAATTTTTAAAGATATAAAAAAAAAATAAGACTAAGTTTTAAAAACAATAATTAAGGAAAATTAAAAAAAAAGAAAGGAATAATATTTACTTAACATTTTCAAATTTTAATTAACGAAAAAATAATTAACCATAAATCGGGAAAATAAAAATTGATTTATAATTATAATTTGTGAACTTATGCAAATTTGCAAAATTTGTAATCGCATTGATAAGTACCTGATCCGACTATTCGAAGTTATTATATTCGAATTATTATTAGAAATTGAATTAATCATCTAATTTGGCAAACTTTATCGCAAAGTTTGAAGGAGAAAAAAAAATTAATTCATTGATCTTGATTAAAACGACAGCGAAGGCAATGGTTGTCGATAAATTTGTAACATCGAAGCACATCATCCGTTAATTGATCCCTTTCGCGGAGATAAATGGGGACGAATCTTGATCCCCGAAGGATTTTTCTCGAATAATCGTTCTTTTCATTGGTAAACACTAACGTGACTACGATAGGGCGGATAGTAGGATTATGCAAATGGCCATTGTAGTTTGTACTTGAAAATTCGAATTAGAATCCCTGGATGACATCGATTGCGCCGTGTTATCGATTCTTCGTGGTTGTATTTCGCTATCGATGCTTTTTCGTCCATTTGTTGTTGTAACGTTTTCAGCATCGTTGTAACTATCGCTGCTCGCCCTTCCATGAAACTCTATATCTAAAAAAAAACTGATTCGTTATATTTGATATCTTGATAAGATATTTTTATATTGAAAAGATAATTATACTCTAAAGTTATATTCTTCGTTTCAACGTATTGTTACTTATACGATTGCATTTTAATATTTTAATTCTCTCTCTGCATTTTCTTTTTTCTTTTTTTTTTTTTTTTTGTCAAGATAAATGCATCGTTCATTATATTTATCTTTCAACAACTCTTTCTTGCAAATCTAATTATAAACATGTAGAAACAGAAATGTGTCTATTGTTAAATATTAAAAAGAAAATATTGATGCGAATTTAATATTGTAAAAAAGTTTTATTATAATTTGGTACGATAATAAAAAAAAAATAAAATTAAGTTAGTCTATTTTCTATAAAATACAATACAAATTTCGTGTCTAGTACGTATATTTAACATTTAATTTTTGCATTTTGTAAAATGCATTTTGAATTTGCGCTTGAGTTTGCTAACAAAAATAGTAAATCTGCAATTCAAAATTCATATTAAATTAGTTCGATGTTCAAATCGAATTCTAACAATTTTGTGACAATTGAACAAATCGATCAAAAATCGGTCTTCAAATGATAAAAGAGAAAAAAATTAATTATATAATTAACGATACAAACAAATATTAATAAATTAAGATTAATAAACGAGCATTCGATGTGTAAGAATTTTTTTTGTAACGCGGCGACGCGATATTCATACCTATACGAAAAATCTTTTACTTTTCAAAAAAAAAAAAAAAGACTAGTTTTGGCACGAGTATTATATACGAGGTACAATAGTAAAAAAGATAATTTTTCCTTTTATTTTCCTCGAATCTGTTGTTATCTCGTAAAAAAAATCGTAACGCTAAAAATCAAACTCGATTTTCTTCTTTTTTTTAAATATTAACCAGATTCATTTAATAAAATTACTCTGATAATCGCATAGAACGAACGATTTGCCGATAAATTTTTAAATTCGTTTTGAGTGATAGATTAGATTAGAATCGAAGGAAAACTGCGACAAAAGTTTTGCAAACGAAAGATCAGATTACTTTTCCATAGTTGAAGCGACGGTAGGTTCATAAACCGCGTGGGATTTCATCAAAATCCCGTTGAGAGGGCAGCGTTTGTCGCCTTGGATATCTACGATGTCGTGCCACGTTGCTGAAAGCTCGTGAGTAAATTTCATGCCTTCTCTCCAACTTTTCCTTCAAAAAGTTTCTCTCTTCTCCTTTCTGTGTGCGTAAGTTTGCGCATTACGCAGAGATGATGATTTAATAGGAAATTTCTAAAAGTGGGATAACGTATTTATGTGAAAATATACTTTTTTTCCCGTTCTATTCTAATTCTATAATTAAATTCCTATTTTAATTTGCATCTTCGAATTATATATATATTTTTTTTTTTTTTTACGATAAAATTCATAAAATCTTAATAATAAAATTATAGCTATTCTTTGATATAATCAAAATAATAATTACGAAACGTAACGTAAACGTCAGCATGTTTTTATATCTTCTCTTTCTTAAGGAAATTGTAAATAACAATATTAAGTGTGATAATTTTACTCGATTAATTCTATATTATTTAGCGTTACGATTAAAAGAAATTTAGAATTTAGATTTTTTACTAAGCATTTTCTACGTAGAATGCTAACTGTACTATTATTGTGGGCGGCTATTATTTAATTTAATACGATTTTTATTAATAAGTTTTCTAATGTGAAACAATTGTATGTACGTGTTTGAATATTCAAACTTGTTTCGACAATGCCGCAATTGTTGCTAGAATGCACAATGATAAGAAAATTCCTCGCTCGTTACAATGTTTCTCGATCATCCATTGTATTCTCCTCATCTTTTTCCGTATAACATAAAACGAGAAACAATATTTCAGAAAAAAAAAAAAAATTTGCAGCAACATGTTTTGATCGATGAAAACACCGCAGATATTTACGTAAATAAATATTACATTTGCAAATGAGATCTATTTCGAGAATAATATTGAAAGAAGAAATTTGACGTATATATTTACAAAGTTTTTCTATATTTCTTTTATAAACTTTTTGATCAGAGCATATATTTTTTTTGTATATGTTTACATGAAAATAAATCCGAATTTATTTGTATTAAAAAATTCGAAATAATTTGTAGGGGGACATATGAATATAATTATGCAATTTTTGAATACAATTTAATTCAATTGCGATAGAAGAAACGAAGAATCACATGTAATGTTGCAGCAATTAAAATTCATAGAATATAATACGAGATATTTATATACTTACTATCGATTCTATGTTCGACATTAGGCAACGATGAATCAGTTATTTGATACGCACTAGGGTCCGCACTGGATTCTGGTCTTTGTCGTGAATTTTGAATATTTTCAACTACAAATAAAACAAATAAATTATCTTCATTTTTATTTTTTTCACCAATGTGATATAAATACGGTTTGTTCGCGTGAAAGTGATAAAAAAAAAAAAAAAAAAAAAAAGAAAAACTGACCCTTTCGAATTAAAGAAAGATATGATAAAGATATGAACTTAATGGATACATATACCTAATTTATGGATGTCGATAATTGTATACAGTTTTATATCATACTGTATGAAACACTAATTATAAACTTGTGTCGATGAAATTTTTATTTCACATCTACCTTCTTCGCTAGTAGTAGGAACTGGAGTAGTAGTAGTCGTGGTTCTCGGCTGTGTCGTTGGTGTCGGAATATCTACAAAATATATAATTTTGGATAAAATTTAAGATTTAATAAAGTTTTTGTCCTCTCTCACACTCTCTCTCTCTCTCACTCTCTCTCACTCTCTTCCTCTCATTCAAAGTTTTTAAAATAATTACAAACATTTGAAAATCGCAAATGTATGTATCGTAATAAATGTAAAAATGTAAATATAATTTAATCTTTTCTTTAAAATGATATCTTTACATCGAAACATATTGACAATTAAAAAATATTTTTGAAATTTGAATCATGAAATATCTATATTTATCTATATATCTATATAAAATTGTATGATTCTATATGAATTGTATAATTCAGTATTTCAGTATTTACATCGAGATAAAAATTAAAAGTGCACCGTAATTATCATAATGTAAGAAATTATTCAATCATTTTTGTCATAATTTATCGAGTTCATGATTGATTAAAGCGAAAACTTAACAAATTGTATCTTTGAGTAAATCAACGTGAAGACTTACAATTACAACAGTTCGATAGATAGCTTGATTCTTTTTGTCGAAAAATAAAGTGACAATGGTTGTTATCGGTGATTTACGGCTTTCACCAATTTCCAGGAAATACGATTTTCAGGACAGAAAAGTCTCACTTTTTATCGAGACGATATAAATTGCTTTTTAATATCTATTCCGATAATATATATATATATATTAATTTTATTATTTAAAACCAAAAATTTTATCCACTTTTTTTGTATTTAAGTATACTACATCTAATAAAGTATGTATATATAAAAGATGTGATATTTTTTTCACCGACGCAAAATCAATTTGAGAGAGAAAAATTAATTATTCAAATTTTTAATTTCGTTATTTGTTTTTGTAAAAAGTAAAACTTCAAACGTACAAATTTATTGAATTATTGTATTATCGCGTAATTTTTGAACAAACGAAATATTTATGAAAAATAATTATGATTCGATTCAAAAAGTTCACTGTTATATAAATTTGTATCATATATACAGTATATAAATTTAAATATAATCGCAATATAATCGTTCTTAATTCACGTTATTTTATACGTATATATACGTGAATATACGTTGTATCTTTAATATTAATATGTATGTTTAATATATGTATTTAAAATCTTTAAATTTTTTTTAACTTTGGATCTATCTTTGATCGGATATTTATAACCGATATTTATAACTGGGCTAATTAATCCTAATTAAATATGAAAACTGAAAAAACAAAACTGAACAAACCAATAAAGAAAGATATAGCTCGTTTAATCTCTTATTCCGCGATTTGCACTTTGCTGAAACTGCAACGTTGCTACTGGCACGGTACCAGGTGGTCTCGCGTCAACTCGTTTATTAGAAACACACTGTGAATTGCTTCATTTATCGAAAATATCATTTCAATGATTATTCTACTGTATCATTATCATTTTTTTTACTATTGCTTCTTTTGTTTAATCCTATTATATTTAGATATTATCGATGCATAAAAAAAATGTTTTAACAATTTTTCTAATAAAAATATTAGAATGTTACTTTTAAATTTATAATATTTCTTTCCTCGTGTTAAACGTTTGTATTTTAATTCTTTTAATTTTTTTTTATAAAAATCTAATGTACAAGTATATTTTAAAAAAAACCGTTATATCATTATTCCCTTCGCTTTGACACATATTTATATTTATTTGCAATTATTTGCAATCTAAGAAAATAATAAAAAGTAAAAAGTATTATAAAGGGAATTATAAAGTAAAAAATATTACTTACGATAAAGTTTAATACTGCCGTCTGTTTCCCCCAAAGAATTTTTTGATATGCATTTATAAGTTCCATAATCGGACATTTCCACCGCTAATATCGTGAGTTTCATATGTACTTTGTACGCGTTACTCGTGAATGATTGGTTATATTTATCTCCTGAAAATGAAATATGAAATAGAAACGATAGATCGATGGATAGAGGAGATGTTGTAAAAATGAAAATATATCTGTATTGTAAAAAAGACAATAAAAGGTAAACTTATTTAATAAGCGTTTATATTATATTGGTGATTAATATGATTTGATGTGTATATTTTTTTTTGTACATTTTATATGTAATATATTTTTATATGATATGAAAAATAATTAATTTTTCAATTTTTTTCGAGATTTCAAAGATTTTTTTTTCTTTCTTTTTTTCTTTCTTTTTCAATACAATAAGAAATTATAATAATATGAAATTTTTTTTTTAAAATAATTAAAACATTCAAAAAACTTACGTTCAAAGATTTAAAAATTTAAAATCGTTCAAAAAAATTCAAGACGCGAATAAAATAATATAATGTTTTATATAATGTTAGAAGATTTTTAATTTTAATTTAGTAAACTTTTCAATAATCATGATTTTCTTTTTAGATATTCTATATTCATGCGTTACGATACTCGCGATACTCCGAGAAAACTTTATACACGATATTCAACCGAAAATGAAATAAAAATAGTTTTCCAATGAAATGAAAGTTGATCACGCTATACACTCATTACTGATTTGTAGGATTTTCTGATATTGAAATAAGATCAAAATATTGAAATACGTGTATATTATCGTAGGATTAATTTGAGATGATGAGTTCAAGACATTACATTTATTTTTATCGTATAAAAACAAAAAAAAATCAAAGGATCGAAACATTAAGTAAAATATTTAAATTTGATATAACATATTTATGTTTTACGATTATGTGAAAACAATTTTAGACGAAAAGAAGAAGAAGAAAAAAAAAAGATTTTTCATTAAAATGATATTATTGGGATATTTCGAAACAAAAGAAGGAAGAAATTGAAGAAATTGATGAATATCGAGAGAAGGGATTTTGCGCGATTAACGATTCCAAGTCTCGCGAGAATGAAGAGAGAAATCTTGAAATCCATAAGTGTAACTGGTAGAGCAGAATAGTATTTTCTCAGGTAGGGAGAAACTTGGTGACAGATAGAACGTATAGAGAAAAAGAAAAAGTGAGGGGCGGAAAAAGCGAGGGTGAAAAGGGTAGAATGCATTTATGTAGTGGCTCCATCGACCGTAGCAAACGGAAGAGAAAAACTTTGGTCGGCTTTGAGTTTGAAAAGCAGATGAAAAAGTTTAACGACGTTGAACTGCGTTGCCGAGCATTATCACGGTAGACGTGGTTCAATGGATTTTCGGATATAAAATTGCTTCTATGAAAAAAGTTAGAGATACCGATATTTTCCTTCTATTCTGTTTTCCCGGTTGAAAAAACAAGTGAGAAAAATAACAAAATTATCGAAATTTCCGAGAAAAAAAAGTGAGAAACTATGGATAAATAGGAGTAATGTAACGTGTTGAAACATGCATACATTGCGTGTATGGATACAAGGTAAATCGAAACTGAAGGAGATTAAGAAGGAGACAATCGCGCATAGGATGGAAGAAAATCGAAAAATTTGAAGATACTTTCGCGTGAGAGGTTCGTTAACTGAAACTTTCGCTCGGGAATGAATAATAAGACAGCGGACATCGTTTTCCCTCGGTAAACCGCACACGTTACGGACGAAAAGAGCGTCGCAAAGAGCAGAAGTCATGACAATCACGAGTCATTAAAGTTGTACGCACGGTTGAGCGAAGCCAGGTCCGGAAAACGTCTGGTTTGAGATGGTCATAAGAGTAGTAGGGGTGCGAGTCGTCGTCGTGTTGCGAAAAGGATGGACCAGTTAGGATAGCGGAATGGCAGAGAGGGGTGAAAGGACAGTAATGGCATCGGTAAGTAGCCCCAGGCACGCTACTTTCATACACACAACTTGCTGCTACATCATCAACCGTGCTTTGATTTTGTTCGCACGATATTCTCTCCTATCCAATAACGATCTAAGATTGCATCGTTCCGCGGCAAAATGTTCAGTTATTGATAAATGATCGAATTGAAAGATCGGAAAAAATCTTCTTTTTATTTTCCTCCATTTTTCTTTTTATCCTTCGTATCTTTTTTCATTTTGTTTCTTCTTTTCCTCATTCTCCGATTGTATAAATAAAAGTTTAATTTTAAAAGATTCGTATCAAGATAATAACATTTAAAAGTGAATTTTTTTCAAATTGTACGTTTTATATTTTTTTGAATTCAAAGATTATTCATTCGTACTTTTAACTTATATAGATTTAATCTCTCGTACATATGTATACTATTATAATTATATTTTAATATTTTTCGATTAATGTGTCATAATTTTCTTTCCTCTTTTATATTTTCTTTTATTTAATTTCAAAGTATAAAAGTATAAAAACGATGAAATAATAATTAGATTTTCTCAAAAAAATTTAAAGCATTGATATTTCAATTAATTATTAATTATTTGTTTACACAAAAATTTCCTAAATTTTATGATTTTAAATTTTAATCGTATCGTTTAGATGTATATCTTACGGCGATATATACATATATATTCATTCTTGAATCAACTTTAAGAATGAAAAAATAAAGTATATATAGAAACATATATGTATATAAAAATTGTTATGGAACGAAACGACGATTGATAATAAAATTAGCTAAAATTAGCTTGATGAAATTAGCTATATCACTAATTCTTTTTGTTAACGGTAAAATATATTTTATATTTAAATTTTGATTTCTATGTGACAAAATAGCACGGAATAATTTAATTGATCAACAACTTTGCACACAAGGATCATAACGTTGGCTTTCTTACTGTGTTTGCATCATCTAGTGTAGAACTGCTAGACGCGTTAATGGATTCAAGAGGATGTATAATATTCCATGTGGTTACTACGCTATACGATCTTCGTGAATATGGTGTCTCGTTATTCGAAATAATTACGCGGTGAATATGCATTTGTGCTTATTCGTACCAATAATACTATAATTCTTGTCAAACGTTATTTTTACTTGTATCTCTGCCACTTATTATAATGTATTACAAATATGCATAACGCGATATACATTTAAACGTGAAAAAATTGTCTTGATCTTTCTTTGACGATGAACGAGAAACAATAGAAGCAAAGCATATATAATAAAATATGTAAAAATAGTTTTCGAATAGATATTATGAATCGATTACATCTTAACATCTATATTCTTTTATATTCATAATTGATTCGATTCCTCGAAATCCTCGAATAAAAATAACAAATAATAATAATAATAACAAAATCGAAAACAAAGAATAAATTAACGAAAAACGATTATGCATCAGTTTAAAAATTATTTTTATTTTTTTATTTTAACCGAAAAAATTTGAAAATCGTTACATAAAATAATAAGTAATAGATATTATTATTTTGCAGCATTGTCACGGAAATGAAAGGGAATGGAACGATAAAACGTTGTGTAAATAATTCTCTCTCGCGTGAAAAATTTAGTACCAAAGTCTCATTATTCGAAGTAATTATAGCTCTATGTATCCGACTACGACCGTGTTGTTAGACCGTTCCAGTAACGTATGGTATATATGTACCGTGTGCTGTGCGTACATTCGTTAATAAAACAGCATTAACTATGTTGGTCAGTATGGTTCAATCGCTCTTCGGTGAATTAGCAGCCCGTAGAACACGTCCATTACAAACGTGCAAACGCGAAGGCATACGAATTTGTTTCTCTGTTAAAGTCTCGTAAAGTATAACGCTCAACTTTTATCGAGTTATCGCATTATCTATGTAGATTACTTTCAACCAATATATATATCTACATGTGTGTGTGTGTGTGTGTGTGTGTGTATTCTTACATCGCAATTTCAGATGCAATCTTTTCCCTTTTCCAATAATATATCGTTAAATTTAAAGTCAAGAGGCTCGAAATTGAAATGCTTGAAACTTATATATTATCCATAAAATCCGATAAAAATTAAATCGAAATAAAGAATAGTGTAAAAAAAATATATGTTCGATTCGAAATACCATTTTTTATAATCTCGTTGTTTTCCTTCGTCCAATAATTGATCGATTGTGGAAACGCTTCCGAGTTACATTCCAAAGTCATTCTTTGTCCCTCTTGCGCTCCGACCAATTGATTTTGAATTGAAATCATTGGACTAACTGTAAATATAATAAATATATTAAATTAAACAACATTTAATACATAAAGATAGAAAATTCTATCAAAAAGAAAAATACTCACATTGCACCGTAAGCGTTATTCTTTTACTGACGCTAGGTGGTATACCGTTCGAAGCTATGCACAAATACGGACCCATATGCAATCGATTTATCTTAGAGATATTGAAGATCGGACCGTTGACAACTGTCTCTGCAACAAAATCGAGAAATTTATTTTTATCGACTTTTATTTTTCTATACTGTTGTTGATTTTATCGTATAACGAAGTGATAAATTGATAATATTAAAAATGAAAGTTTTTGTACACGGAGATTAAAACTAATTACAACTAATTCTATTCGAGTGGTAAAGTTTTTGAAGATTAAGAATCATATTCGATGCGCTACAAATATACGTGTAATAATAGGTATTCGTTGTGCTTTAAAGTTGCAAAATCTTTGCGAAACAAACATACGTTCCAACTATTACGTTTCTCGATGTAACTTTTCGAACTTCTCTTCGCAACAATCGAATAGTTTAAATCGATAAAACAGCGAACAAGAAGCTTTTGTAACATCATCCATTGAATACGTTTTAACCGTATCTCAACTTTTTAATTCCATTCTCTCCTTTTCATCATCTTATTCGACAATTGAAATTTATTTCAACATATAATATCGAGTTATGCATACCGTAATGGAATAGATATAATCCGCTGTTCTTCTAACCGAGTAAACCAAACTCGGTTAGCAAGAAATTCGCGACAACCGTTATACCGTTCGTAGCATTTGATGCTTACTCGGATTAAACGGACTGACAAAAAGTCAGAAATGCAGGATGCAGTATCGAAGATGCACGAGTGAACACGAGAGATTCGGTCAGTTAACATTAATTACGAACACGCTATTACCAATCTTTTTACCATACGAAATCAACGCTGTTCTTTGTTTCATAAACGATGACCGACCTGCTAAATGAATCGACGAACAAGCTATCTATATATTATACCTGTACATAGATTTTACTGTACTTGGATTTAGGTAAATTATGTATAAAACATGGCTAAATATTTAACGCAAGAAATATTTGCTCTATCAATTGTTATGGATGATTATTGAAACAACTAGTTATTACGAATTAATTGCCACGATATCTTCCAATTTTTCAGATGTATGTCTAATATATTACATTTTCAGTTTCGTAATTTATATATATATATATATCTGTAAAGATAATTTTATTTATACACTTACATAAAATAGAAAGCTTCAAATTTTAAAAAATCACGATCAATGGCTTTTATTCGTGTATTCGTATATGCATGTAAAAACGTATATGCTTGTCGTTAACGTCGTTGATTTTTATGATCTTAGCAAATAAAATACAGAAAGCAAGTAAAATCATCAATAAGATTGATTCTTTTTTATTTATTTATATTTGTTTATTAGATTTCTATATATCGTAACCGTATTTAGAAATATTATTTGAAATTCTTCTTGATATTCGTTGTTGATATTCGTATAGTTGAAATCATTTCTTCAATCAGATTTCTTCAAGTTTTCTCGTAACAATAAAGCTTCTTAAGAATAAAAGCTTAAAATTTATATTTCCGCGTTTCTCAAGTCTCATGGTTTCCGTCCTATTTATTTTTCCTAATCCATTTCCAGTTTACTTTATTATTACATTTTATTGTTTATCAAAATTGAAATAACAGTGGCAATTTATAAATTAGAAAAATTATATATTGCTAGTAAATATGTTGCTGCGTATATAATAGAAGAGATATTAAACGAACAGCGAAAAGTAGCGAATAATGAAAAAATAAAATGACAAGTTGAAAAGTGAACATGAGAGATGAAAAATTGTAACGAGCATATCACAGAGACGAAATGCTAGTTAGGAGGATTTCATCTTCTATTTCTGGATTCAGTAGTGTCAATGGCGAATACACTAGTAACCGCACATAGAACATGGTCAGTGGGCGAACGTAAATCTTTTGGTGGAAAACTAAAAGGCGGTCACAGCCGCTGCTCCCGCTCGAATTTTCGATTCTCGTTGAGCTCCGACTTTGTCTACCTAAACGCTTAATCTCTGCATAGAACAATTTATGTTATTGAAACGCCTGTCGACTCCACCCTCTGTAATCACTTGCACATACGGGATAAATTGTAAACCACTGACCAAACCACCATTCGATACACTTGGCGTTCCCATTTTATTAATTAATTACTTTCCAATCATTGCTACTTTATTATAAGTTAATTACCAATAACTAAACCATGCTATTACACATATCTGCTTTCATATCTTTTATTCCTCGAACGAAGTAAATGTATCGATGATCTAATAATTTGTATTTGTATTTTTTTTTTTAAATAACTTTATCTAAGCAAATGTACTTTTATTTATTTATTAAAAATAAGAAACCTTGCGTATAATTAAATACTTTGAATAGGCGTACTATGAATAGTTGCAAATATCAAGAATTATAAATAAATTTTTCGAATCACGAAGAATCGTTACATTCGTAACAATTTTTTGTGAAAATCGTCGAGTATCGACGAGATTTTTTTTTTGTTTTTTGTTTTTTTTTTTTCATATTTGTACACAGTTTCCAACAAATAGGTTTCTGTCGGTTTGTCTACAATTTTATTCGCATATACAAGAATACGAGAATACGAGCAAACCACGGTCTACAAACGAAAAAAAACTACGATCCGTAATTCGAGAAATAGATATATAAAATGAAGAGAGAAGATATCGAGTACATTCGAGAAAAATGTGTGTGCAAATAAGCAAATAGAGTTTTGGATGATCAAAGCTACGATTTAATTCGATTTAGAGTTGTTCATTGAAACCGCGCTGATATCATGTTTACACTTTTTAGACATTTTATTGTCATTTTATTGTCATTTACACTTCAAAGATACACGGCGGGATATCTAACCATGACTGAAAAGCAAGCTGAACTAATTTTTCCTAAAATGTATAAACGTTTCTCGGTTATTGTCATACAAATCTATGACGATACAGTCTTTCATCTTTCCGCTTTGTTTAACGTCAATTGTCTTCGCGTACTATGTGTTATATAAATAAATTAAATTAATCATAATTGTTAAAAAAAAATGCTCAATCTCGTGTAATCAATTTTTAATTAAAACAAAACAAATTAAAGATATTTCTATAATATCTCTCTTTTTTATACAATATAATATAAATAATCAAAGGAAATGGAAAATAATATTTATTATTATAATTGATTATTTAAGAATTATTAATTAATTTATTAATTAAAAATTTTACTTATTCTAACTATTCTCGACAAACCTATTCAAAAAATTTAAAAATGTGAAAAGCACAATAAAGCATTTTTGAAGTTAATAAAAATTCTTTTATATTATAAATAGTTTTTTTGTTTCATAATTATTTTATATACATTTTCATTGTATGCACTAATAATTTTTAGAAGCAGGCAAATATTATTTCGAATACCCATCGCAACTATCCACTTCGATTCAATTTCAACTCTATCACGCGATAAATAAAAATAATATGCGATATATTGAAAAATATTATTTAAATAATAATAATAATAATTGAGAAGAGTTATTGTTGATAGAACTTTTAAAAAAGAATTTTAAACGATAAAATTTTTCTTCTTTTCGATAAAAGATTTTTTGATCCACGTGATCGCAGGACGATATATGCATACATGTTGGAGAAAGATCGATAAAAATATTTTTGGTAGATACATATTTGTCTAGGCGGGTATTACAAAAGCTGGCATACACGGGAAGATGTTTACGAATACAAGAGACATTTTTCTTGCCATAAGGCAGGGTAGGCAGTTTCCGGCGGAAGAACAGAATGCAAGCAACAGTTTTCGATGCGGTCAAAAGACAAAAGAGTGATAAATCGTTACCACGTCTCGCGAATAAAGTGTTTGCAACGATTCGTGTGCGAATCAGAACGTTCGTATTACTTGGTGTTATTGTGCGAAACACGGACCATGTATTTCATCCTAACGTCATCGGTATGGCAATGGTGCAGGTGCAACATGGATGCATACAGGATCGCTGTATCACGCATCATACTCGCTAAATAAGTTTGAAAGCCACCAGCGATAAATTTTCATTCTACGTTCATCGTACGTCATATATTTCTTAACCCTCTATCGACCGTTCATATAAATGCGTTTCGGAAACATTTCTTTAAACGCACGTATTGTGTAGAAACAAGTTAATAAATAATTCATCAACTAGGAAATTCGAATAATCGAACGCAAGCAAAAAATATAATACAAAGAATATTTCTAATTGAGAAAAAAAAGAGAGAAAGAAAGAAAAATCGTTTTGTTATACATATGGCAATACATATGGCAATTACTTTGAATATTAACAAATTTTTTTTACATTAACATTAGCCTATATCTATACGGTATGTTATATACTCTTATACAGAAGTAGGTTATATACTCTTTTATATTTTAATATTTTACGTTCGATCTAATGCAAATTTAATAATATATATATATATATACTAGAAAAAAATATATCGATATTAAATAAAAATATACCGATATTAATATGAAATCATATTGCGAACATAAAAAATAAAATAAACGAAATGATATATTCATTTCGTATATATGAATTAATTAATTATTTCTCGTTTAATATACGCAAGAAATTTGTGAATCGAATATTCTGTAAATACTAAATTTACAGAATAAATTGTAAATATTAAATTTGATGCACTTTTCTCGTAAAAATTTCCTCTCGTGAAAACCTAGCGAGAATCTAATCTCAATATGAAAAGAATTGTTCCTTCTATCTAAGATCCATTAATGAAAAATTTAAATTAATGAAACGCAAAATATGTTTAAACATAATTGTATTGGGAGAATTATATTAGACATTAACATTACATTATATTAGATAAATATTATTATGTTGTAATACATCAAATATACAACTTTTAATCTTTTATTTATGTTAAAGAGTAAAATTATTATAAATATAAATGTTTCATTTAATTTATTTTATTCGTTATATGAGAAATGACAATATAATTTTTGTTCTTTCCTTTGCATTTTAATTTGAAATTCATTTTAATTTTTCGTTACTTATATAATTCGATTAATTCAATCTTTTTCTGTTTTTATTTTACTTATTGTCCTTAATTTTTTTTTACAATAGATATAGATGTCGGTCAATCCTTACCTTTTTCTCCATTTTCGAAAAATATAGTCTTTCCATCTTCTCGCTTCCATAAAGTAATTGGTGGTGGAGATCCTTTAGCAATGCAACGTAATGTCACGTTGCTGCCTTCTCTGACTATCATGTCCGTGCTTGACATATAATCTAAAATATCGGGCGGAACTGAAAACAGAAATTTTAATCGTGTCATCATCATTTCCTACGATATAATATCTCATATTTAAATTTTTCCCTGTCTTTTTATCAACTTGAATCTGTTTAACGATATTTAATTAATAAATAGATGGTAAGAGAATAAATAAATTTAGAAATTAAAAAGAGCAACGGAGCAGAACAAATTTTATGTTTTTACATGGATCTGCGAAGGATAAATCTATATACATATAAGGTGTGTATATATATATATATATATATATATATATATATATATATATACACACAA